TTTTTAATTAAAAGAAAAAAAAAAAAAAAGGAAGGACTAGTTAACCCTTGCAGTGAAGTATTAGCCCCCCACTGCAAGGGTTAATTTTAAAAAATCTGCTCCTCAGAGTTCTGTTTTAAAATACTTGTCCATTCACTCTGGCATCGGTGTCACTTCCTGTCCCAAATAACTCATAACAGGATGTCAGAGGAAGTCTTTACAATGTATTGGAATTTCCCATATTTAAAAAACAGTCACCAGAAGAGCTGTCTCCATTGGATGATTTACCCTCAGCGCTCGTTCTGCTGACAACTGAAAAATGTTAGCTTTCCCATTACTTCAACATGTTCTGGGAAGGTTCTGAACCGTATGAGAGAAGAAAACAAGAATGCCCTTTTAAATGGAAGGATGTGAAGGAATTCACAGGATGTGGAAATTGCCATGGCGACATTACAATCTATGTAGACGGTTCTCACCTTCAGTAGGACTGACATTTTCCACCAGATAGGACACCGATTTCAGCTCAGACACCAACCACACACAGAGTGCCATAAACTGCTGACATGCAGCTCCCGACTCACAGGATTCCAGCAGAGCATCTTCATCAGACAAAGGTCCCGTGTACCTAAAATAAATGTAGATTAAAGTTAATCTAAAGCCAAAAATATAACTTTTTTGGTTTCGGATAGAGTATGGAAGTGTTAAAAGTTAAACCCATCCGGTTTTTTTGTTTGCTTTTTACAGTATGTGTCCCATTAGAATTACCTTCACTTCCTGTCCAGTAGACCCAACAGGAAGTAGGGAATCTTTCCAAATGAGGAAAGTCCTCTCTTGGACAAAGGTCACTGCAACAAGTGTCCTCTCTTCCTATTCTGGTGACAACTTAAAATTTTGGCTTTCCCATCACTTTCATTTTCAGTGACAATGGTCAGCAAGAACAACAGAGGGGTAAAACTCCTTATCGGTTGCACAAACACCAACCATTGCCAAAATTAAGAAAATAAATAGAATTTGGCTTCAAATACACTTTAAAGTAGAATTAACTCCGGTATTTTTAGTGAAAATTAATCTTCATTAAAAAATTTAAAATGCTTATTGGCAGTTAGAAGTACTCTGACACTCGCTCCTCTGCCGCCTCTGGGTGTGGAGGAGCAGGTGACCTTCCCCATGTAACACTACCCAGGTCTGAGTGACATCATACACCCGAGTAAGCGCCTACATCAGTGCTTACCCAGGTTGGACTCCTGCAGCGAGGAGGTGACGAGTCCAAGGATCAGCGAGTACACCTTGCCGCCGAAGAAGGCCATTCGGAGTTACTGCCACTTTTTCCTCAATGGGCAAAGTAACAGTGTCTCCTTAAAGGAGATCTCCAGGACACAGCAAGGATGACAGCCATTAAAGTAAAACTTCAGGAGTCCCATCTTCCCACACATACAACGCTTTTTTTTGTCTGGTTAAGGTAGAATCCAGTACAAAGATTCCTTAACCTTGTCCCTGGTCCTGCAGTCTTCTCCCCCACTGATTTTGGTTGCGATGACCAGTCCCAATGTACCCGATGTAAAATGAAAGACCAACAGCCACCCCTGGTCCATAATATGCGAGGACATTAAAAAGGACCTTCCCACATTCGGGCACTGAAAAGAAGAGGACTGGAGCCATGGCTGCCGTGGAACCACGTGTTAACATAAGTATTCCCTATGCCTAAAGTCACTTAAATCCCCTTTCTTCCTCATTCTGATGCTCGGTGTGAACTTCAGCAGACCATTTTGACCATGCCTACACGCATAGAGTTGGCTGATTAGATGTTTGTGTGAACGAGCAGTTGAAGAGGTGCATCTAATAAAGCGGGCAGCGAGTGTATTTGTTTATACAGATGCTCAGCATGTGAGTAAGTATATATTTATTAATATTGAGGCTCGGTGTGGGAGTACAAATAAGGAAGAGCACCCCAGATAGCGTACAATCACATTCATGGAACGGTCACGTTTAATGTACAAAACTGTTTTGTTGCGCTTTCTAATGGAAGTTATGTTGTTACGGGTTTGTATCAGTGCCATTCTCCTAATGGTACACCATGAGACAGTGTGTACTCTATGAGTCATAGTCTTATTACATTGATAGGACAGAGATTATGAAGAAGTAAACAGGCTGTTCATACTGCAGTGGGTTCCGGCTGTTAATGGTTATGGACTGTGCTTGGAAACCGGGTATTTTAGCACTAGGAACATATACTACAGTGCATTATCTATATATCCAGAGCAGCCTTTCTCAACCTTTATACAACAAACAGGTATGGGTCTCAGGGAACCCCTGCTACAATTATATCTACAGCTTATGGTAACATCATCATGCTCAGTAAGGTGTAGATAAAGTAATAAGGAATAAACTTTAATTTCAGTAATAGTCATGAAATGGAAAAAATAAACAAAAATGATGATGGCAAGAATATAAATGCAGATAGTAATGTTGTGTCATTGCTTCACTACAAGTAAAAATCAGTGTCCCTTTAAATTGGTGGTCAGTGGAAAGCACCCCTTACACTGGAGGTCAGAGGAAACATTATCTCATACAGTGGTGGTCAGTGGGGGAGGTACCCCCTTACATTGGTGGTCAGTGGGTGAGACCCCCCCCCTCCCCTCGCCAGATAAAAATGATCAGCAGGGACGCATTAGTAATGTAGCAGCTTGCTGGTAGAACCATAGCAAGGGATATAGGCATTAGACCAAGAGTGGGCAACTCCAACCCTCCAGCTGTGCTTTAACTACAAATCCCAACATGTCTCTGCCTCAGGGAATCATGCCTGTATCTGTCATTTAATGGCTCATGGGACTTGTAGTTCCACAACAGCTGGAGGGCCAGAGTTACCCATCCCTGCATTAGGCAGACCCAGAAGTGTTGGCTGCTAAAGATTCCAGTGCAAGGTGTAGCCATACAAGATATTGAAGACTGGAGTCACAGGGGGGGGTGACTGGTACATATTATTGTTTTTGTACTAGCAACAGAGTGGCTTTAAAATAGCCGTCTCTTAGTAAAACAGATTCTTCTGTCATAACTACTGAAGAGCATGGGCTTGGTGCAAACCAAGTCCATACAAAACTTTCACTGACACACTCCCCTCCCAATCAGGTGGGGCGGGGGCAATGCCTGCCCTTTTGTAACATGTAGCTGTGCAGGACGGAATGCCCCTGGCAAAACTGACCGGACCGGGGAAGGGTTTGACACCACTCTCCAAGGCAGATATGGAACAGAGTGCATTGTGTTTTGCCGCGTTCCGGAGCTGGGTTTTTTTATTTTAGCATAAAATGGGCTCTCAGGTGCGGTCCAGTGCATTTGTATGCATTCCAGACCAGAGAAACTGAGACAAGCAGCATTTTTGGGTCTAGTCTGAAATGCAATGCGCTGGTGTGAACAGAGCCCAGAAAATAACATAGGGATACATTAGGATGCTTTTTTGGCCCTGGAACAAACTGTTCTGGTCTGGACATGATCCAGACATGGTGTGTACAAGCCCTAAAAGCAGGCCAGGCACTAATGCAATCAATGCCCCAGGATCTACACAAGCCATTTGCTTTAGGTTATGAGTCCTCTGCCACTGCAGAACTGGAGCAGTACACCGATCAGGAACTCTGACTTCACTTGCTGCGTGACTGAGCCAGTAACTCAGGAAGTAATGTAGACGGCCAGGCAAATATCATTGTCACAGTGAGGTCATTCATTGCGCAGTTCGCATTTCTTCCTGGTTAAGTTTCCTTTAAAATGGTCAAGTGACAGCCCTAGCCTAGTACTGTGCATAGGCCAGCACTGTACACACACACACAATGAATACACCGTACACTTGTCCACACACACGCCGTGTACAGGAGAGCAGGCTATCACACTCACCCGAGCTCCCTGAGCAGCCCCGCTGTTTGTGTCAATAATGTACGCCGTTTCCCGGCCTCTTCCTCCTCTCCTCCCTCTCGCTGTGCCTCCATCTTGCTGTCAGACTTCGCTCTAGGCCTACCGCTTCCACCTCGTCTCCTAGCAACCGGCACCGACTCACTTAATATACGTCACGGGGTGCGGCGGCCAATCAGGAGGCTGCGCCGCGTTCCATTTTAGGAAGCGACTGGCTGCCCACCTGGTACACACAGTTGCTGGTGATGTAGGAGATCGGTGCATGTATATGGCAGCGCACCAGCCAGCAAAAAACGTGCAAGTCATTTTATTAAAGGGGACCTGCAGTGTCGAAGTTTTTGTAGACAAGTAAAGCCTGAAATATATAGTTTGGTATTGGAAACTGGCGTCAGTTCTTTGAGTCACTGACCTGGAACAAACATGTAGCAAAAAAAGGTCATAAGGGTCCGGTCGCAAAGCAGTGGTATGGCCAGGACCGATTTACCCTCCCTGCTGCCCCAAGGCCGGGTTCGGCAGTGCCCCTCCCCACCGAGGGAATGCGGGGGCTGCAGGGTTGGGTTTAATTTTTTATGTTTTTTTTTTTGTTTCTCCCTTTTTTTTAAACTTTTTAATTTTTTATAATTTTTTAACTTATTTTTTATTTATAATTATTTAACAAGTGTTCTTTGGCGACATCGCCGAGAACACTTGTAAAGAAACAATTTCTCCTATTATACCTTTAGCTCTGCTTGTGCAAAGCAGGGCTAAATGTAGAAAGTAACTTACCGCCCGGCGCCCGAAACTCTATGTGTCGGGTGATTCAAACCTGTGCCGCCCCGAGGCCGGGCCTCGGTGGCCTTGCTGGGAATCCGGCCCTGGGTATGGCCTTAAGCCCAGTAGTGATCCAGTTGACAATCATTCATCAGTGACAAGATGGCTAGAGCTAGAGAATACAGGGAGGGCACGTACCTGCATTGTATGTGTACATGTTCTATCGAATTCTCCAACTCGTCAAGACCTCCAACTCCTGTCAGTGTGCCTGTGCATCCACCCAAGAGAAGTATCAAGCTGTACAATCTGTGGCAGTGCGCCTGCGCGGGCATGCAATGCCACAAGCACCGACGGGAGTTAGAACTCGAGGACAATTTAGAAGGTGCACCTACGGCAACTGAAGAAGTCAACGAGGATTGCAAAGATTGACGGCTGGCGCTAGCGCCATCTCATCGAAAACTACAATGGATGTGACGTCACGAGTTGGAGATCTCGACGAGTTGGCCACCTTGACAGTAAGGTGTCGCTCCACCAATGGCCATCCCTATAATGAGCCAGCCTGAGGTTGTTATCATAGGCTACATCTCTTTGGGTCCCGGGGGTGCGGAAAGCAGTGCGGCTGCTGCTAAACAATGTTTGCAGTGTGCCTGTCGCCCCCTTTTCTGGCAAGAGCTGGGCAGGGAGATATGTATGGCCCTTACACATTCCCCCGCCTGGCTCTTAACAACCTGGGATGCTCTCACCAGAGTCCTGGCAATCAGTGAGCTGGGCGGGATGCACTCCCTCCCCCTCCTTAAACATGCGCCACCAGCAAACCCCTTCCCCCCCATGACCTCAGGCATCAAAATTGGCTTGGGACCCCCTGGCTCCCACACTGATGATAACACTGGAAATCCTGAAGCGAAGCAGGTGAGTGTTGGCACACTGCACGGTGTCCTCCAAAGCGATCCTTCACTGGCGAGTTCTTTCAGCGTGACATGGCCCTTAGACTGTCCGAGGATGATCATCTGTACCTGTATGCAAGTATATACCCAGAGCAGCGTTTACCAGCATATAGCTGCAGCTTGTCATTGATTTGTACAGGTGAGCTGTATGCAACAAATGTGGCTCCCAAACATGTGGATCTCGTTTTGCCTGTGTGAATAAGCCCTTACTACGGCCAAATTGTTGTTTTAAAAACCTTGCCGCATTAGGGTCCATTCACACTATGGCATTGTGCTAAGGCAGCCATTACCATACACTTACATGTTACATGTGTTGCCATTTATTTGAAGGGCACCCTGACGAACCCTGCCAACAGATGTGTGTTGCTGCTCAGCAGCATGCTGTGAATTGCTGCCAAAGAAATCGAGCATGCACCATTTTTTGGCAGCGCACCGCAAGGTACATCTGTCACAAGGTGCGTTGGTGTTCCTCTCAAAATGAATGACACTATTTCAAGCCAAAGCATTTAATGCGCATTGCCATAGTGCAAACAGGTCCTTAAAACGGATCTTTACACTCAAAAATCTAATTCTACCAATGCATCCCTCTGTATATGATGATGATTAATAATAACATAGACATGTCAGGTGTAAAATGCTGTGATTGTGAAATACTTACACTTGCAGAGCATTCACTTCCTGCTTTGAAAGGACAAAATGACTTCAGTTAGGCAAAGCAATGCACACTGGAAATGCCTTGTCATCAGCAGAGCATTGCTGGGAAATCTCATCTGTAATCTCATGAGATCTCAAGGGAAATCGTTTTTCGCCCCTGAGATGATGTGCATGGTCGCGTGTCCTAGTCACATGTCTAGTCACATGTGCCAGAAATCCAGGAAGCAAAAGGAGAGCTGGTAATCGGGGGGGTGGGGGGGGGGCGCATCGCAGAACCTGGCCTTGGGGTGGCAGGGAGGGGAACAATAACACTTATCACACCAGCAGTTTTAACAAGGTAAAATGATATCTTGTTCATTAAAAAATAAACATGTTTAATGATGAACCATATTTCAAAACACTGAACTATCAGAGGGAATGACATGATTTAATCTGCAGAATTACAATAAAGAAATGTAAAGACTTTGTGATCAGTATAACATTTTCAATTCGATATGGAAAATCAAATGCAATTAAACTTTGCAATCTTTTTCAGTACAGAATACGGGGAATTTGAGGAAAATAGAAAACATTTAAAAATATCATGTACAGTTTGTGTGTTTTTTCCTAAAGAAATAAATAGCAAAGTTTAATCAAATTTAATTTTGCCCGGCAAAACTTTTTTTTTTTTACGCATCATTAAATATTTTAGTTTTTCTTTAAAGCGTACCAGTCCCTTTACGCACATTGCAAGCAGCAACGTTGAAGCATGAGTGCCTCCATTGTTTCCCTCATTATCGGTGAACTAATCAGCTAAAAATTAACCGAATGCACAAAATGGCTGCGGAGATGACAATGAGTTCCCTTTTAAAAAGCCTATAGGAGTTAAAGACGGGTAACAATAAGGGTTGATTTTGCCTCCCGTTCCTCTGTACAAAAGAATGGGAAAAAAATCCAAAACACAATTTGTTTCTTGAAAGAAAAAAATTATTTTGCTCCAACCACAATAATTCTTTAATAGCAACCTGTTTTTTTGTTTGATACAAAATAGCAACAAAACATTCCAGCAATATACAGAACACCGCACAGCTAGTGCAAACTTTACAGGCTCGTGTGTGTGTTGGTCGTGTAGGATGCCGATTGGCACCCCTGTCCGCAGTGTAGCTGCGTTTGGATGCGACAGTGTCCTAGTTCCCGAACTCGCACTATCCTTAACGTTCTCATCACAAGGCCTTGTCACTAGTTCCACTATGACTTTGTTTCAGTCACAACAAAGAAAAGCAAAGCACAAGTGAAGCCGGAATCCTCAACAACCAATCAGGTTTCAGCTTTTGAATGATAAAAAAAAGAATCTGGTTACTACGCGCTCATCATGTGCCTGGCGTTATACTGAATTGCCACAATTTCTTTATCCTGATGAGGAGTGGGGTGGTTGATAAAAAGGCGCATAGCAGATATGCAGATAGAAAACAGTAATAGTAAGCCCTCAGGAACAGGGCCCTCCTTACCATCTTGTCTTGCATTGTATTGTGATTGTAATGTCTTCCTTATATTGTAAAGTGCTGCGCAAACTGGCGCTATATAAATCCTGTATAATAATAAGGGTTTAGGCAGATCTTAAAGTGACACTAAACTCAGGAGTTAAATCCTAAAAATACATTCAAGCACCTAACTATTAACAAAAATGTATCTTATTTGTGTATCACTTGGCTGGAGATCCTCAAATCATCTCTGAATTGGTGCGGACACTGTCCTTCCTCCTGGAGGGTGGCTACTTTTGTTCCCCATGGTCCCTGTGTGTGTTGTAAAGTAGTCACCGCTCCAAGTTCCCTCCTGTGATGGACTACAAACTTAATACAAATTGTTAAATAAATGTGACATTGTAGTCCATCACGGGGTTAGTTCACACCAGAAACTGCATCACAACTGAGTGCGTCTGCGTATTTGATGCGTTTTTTTACGCCCAGAGAAGTACATTACTTCTTTGGGGCGTTTTGGTCTTGCATTTCCATTGGGATACAGCCATACCACGAATCGCGGTAAAAACGCACGACAAACGCGCATATTCAATACGCCTAGGTGTGAACCCAGTGTAACACCTAAAGAGACTCCCAGGCAAAAGTTGTAGCAGGGTCTCTTTCAAACTGAAATTAAAACGGGAAATAAAGAAAAACTACCCTTGCAATCCCACCCCACCCTAAAGGCTCATTAAAGTAGTATTATTATTAAACTCTTTTTTCAATAATGAATCCAGATCAAACAAATATGCAGTGTCCAGCAGAGTATTTCTTTACTTTTTTGCCCAAGCACTTACAGTCGTCATGTTCCTGAACAGCTCATGTCTTGAATCTCATATTCTTGAATCAGGTGTCAATTCAAGCAATTTTTTATTACAGATGGAAACTTTTGGACCTCCTTGAGGATCCATGTTATCTTGGTGTGGTTAAAAGTCAATCGGCTTTTTCTTCTTCACTAAAAATGTGTTTGAATTTTTGTCTTAAGAGATTTCCCATCACAAAGAAAATCTCACCTTTAGGGACAATGACAGAGGCTCTAACCCAGGGGTAGGCAAACCTTGGCACTCCAGGTGTAGAGAAACTGCAAATCCCATCACTTGGTGTCATGCCTATGACTGCAATGCCTCATGGGACTTGTAGTTTTTGTCGTTCTACCACAGCTAGAGTGCTGAGGTTGCCTGCCTCTTCTCTAATTGTCCCCTGCTCTATCCAAAATTAAAGTTTTGGCTGGTGTTGAACTTAATCTAAGGATTGGTTTAATTTAAAATATTAGCTTTGGTTGGCT